CCTCCATACTGCAAGAAGCCTGAAAATCATCCATTCATTCAAATCAGGTGTGCTGGAGCAGAGAAGCAAGTAAACCATGCAGGGCTGCATACCTCGAGGACCAGGATTGCCCACCCCTGCTGTTGAGGGACCCTGAGCCGTTAACAGGCCAGAGAGGATACATAATCCCTCCATCACATACTGGGTCTACCAGTGGGACGTGCCTGGAACACCTCTAAAGGGAGTCGTTCAGGAGGCATCCTAATCAGACGAACCACCTCAACTGACTTCTTTTGATGTGGAGGAGCAGCGGCTCTGCTCCAAGCTCCCCCCGGATGGCAGAACTCCTCACCCTAAGGCTGAGCCCTGCCATCCTTTCAAAGGAAGCTCATTTTCACCACTTATACCAGGGATCTCATTCTTTCAGTCATGATCCACGCCTCATGACCACAGGTGATGGTTGGAACATAGACAGACCAGTAAATCAAGAKCTTTGCYWTTCAACTCAGCTYCTTCTTCACCATGACCGACCGAAGCAACGCCCTCAGAGACCGACTCCCCCTCAACATGGAGGGGTCATTTCATCCTTTTCCAGTTCAGAACTATGGCCTCAGATTTAGAGGAACAGACTCTCATCCCAGCTGCTTCACACTCAGTTGTGAACCGCGATGCCAACAGAACCACATCATCCACAAAAAGCAGAGATGAGACCCCRTGGGTCCAAAACCAGACACCCTCCTCTCCACAACTGTGCCTTAAGACCCTGTCCATGAACATCAAACTGCCCCAACCCAGGTCCTCAAGGGCCACTATCCTGYGTCTTTTCGATGTTTTCCTGCCCTTCAGCATGTYTTCAAGTTCTGCATAATTCCTGTTAATCACTATTTTTTTCAAACATCTAAAATATGCAGGATTGTGGCCCTCAAAGACCAGCGTTGGGCACCACTGGCATAAAACATTAGCATTAGTTGTTGGTGTCAAATTTGTTTGGAACTTTCAGAATCTATGATGTCCATAGTGATTTAAAATCAAACCTGTCACATATCGTGGATAACGTTATGTTTAGGGTTTGACCAAAATGGCTCAGTTTTGTTATTTTTCAGTACAAGATGATCTTAGTTTAATACTCTGGCATGACTTGGATTTGGAAATGACATCAACTTAAAATGTTCCCATTGCCAGAAAAACTGAATTTGTATGTGTATTGACCAGGCTAAYGAAATAAAATTTTGTATTTTTCCTGTATTTTTTGTATTTCAACACTTTAGGAAYGTGTACTAATGGAGGTTGAATAGTACTTTGTTTATGACTGATTTGCTGAAATACAAACAAACAGAAATCCATCCATTTATTTTCTTTCGTGGATTGAGGAGGAAACATGTCAGTGAGAGAAACCCAGACATCCTTTAGCACAGAAACACTCTCCAGCTCATCCTGGGTAACACCAAGGTGTTTCCAGGCAGGGGAGGATACATAATACCTCAGTGCTGGGCCTGCCTCAAAGTCTCCTCACCCAAATGGAGACAGCAGAGCCAGCTTAATAAGATGTCTGAACCACCTCAATTGATTCTTTTAGATGTGGAGGAGCAGCAACTCCAGTCTGGGATCTYGTTCTTTCAGTCAGAATCCACTTCATCATCGGTTAGGGTTGGAACAGACAAACCAGTAAATGAACAGATTTATYTTTCAGCTCAGTGAAATGAGGCTGTTTTTACTGCAGCTATCACACTTTCCTGATCAGTAATCCTAGACTTGCCAAGTTAGAGTTTGAAACTTGAAAGGTGTTTCAGTTTTTTTTCTGACCATGCAACTCAAAAATGTAAATTTCTAAGAAGATCAAACACAAAGACCTTCTTCCAGGCCATTTTTTCCATGGGTTTAATATATACTGCTTTGCTACTTCTACTTATCTCACAATAATTTTGTGTTACCTCACGATACATTTGTGCTCCCATGCAATACTTTTGTATTACTATGCAATACTTTTGTATTGCCTCCCACTTTTATGTTACCACGCATATTATTATTTGTACTCATGCAATACTTTTGCCTTACTTTGCAATTATTTTGCAATACCTTGCAATACTTTTGTTAGTTTGCAGAAGCCTCTTTTGCACTCAATACATTTGTGTCACGTAACAAATCTTTTGTTCCCCTACTTTATTATAATATAATAAAAATATTGAATAAAATAATAAAATATTGTGTTTTCTGCACAATATTTTGGCATTCACATACAAAAATTTTGCAAAGTCAGAATAATCCTTCTATGTCCTTGTGCACTAAGTTTTTTTCATGTCGCTCATTGATGACACTCATGCCTTTTGGCAAGCACACACTGAATATCCTTTAAGGCAGATTTCATAACAAAACTCCATTTCAAACATGGTGTCTGTTCCATTTTTGCTGTTGTCTGGTTTGGAAAGCAATGCAATGCAGTGCAAATACAACACCCCCCTCTTGGGTTCTGTATTAAACTAATCAAGGTTCACACAAGGGTTTTTAAATCAAGAATACATACTATGGAACACTATGGAATCAAAAATACATTAG